CTGGGATTACAGGTGTGTGCCACTATACCTTTGGCTTCTCAAAGGCCAAATTCTAAGACTAAGTACTGGACAGCAAGGTCATTTTCTAATAGAGGTTCACTGTAACCTTGTATTATTTTGTACAGTAAAGAAGTACTCAGCTAGGGGCTGGGGATTTAGCTCAACGGCATAAGTGCCTGCCTTGCAAGCGCATAGTCATGAGTTTGATCCCTGGTATGGGGGGGGGGGGAAGAAGTACTCAACTTAACTTTTTCCTTTAAAAAAGATTAATCTTTTTGTTTTTCTGAGATAGGGTCTTGCTATGTAGCTGGCCTGAACTCACTATGTCACCTAGGCTGGCCTTTGCACTTGAGGTGATTGTCCTGGTTCAGCCTCATGAGTGCTGGGATTATAGGCACGGACCACCACACCTTTTTTTCTAATTTTTTTTATTACTCTATGTTTATATTAATGCTTACTTTCATCGTGGGGAATTGGTAAAGGTCTATGACATATATTAATTATTTTTTATTCATTTCTTTTTTTCTTCCTCTGATTCTCTTAAAAGCTTAGCAGGTATAGTAGGTTAGAAAAAAAGTTTGCTAGAATTCTTTGCTAAAGAGAAATCAGAACAAATCCTGGTATAAAATGCCTGTCTCCCATGGCTTTCGTTGAGAAAGTCAGAATATTGCTTGACTCCTTCACAGGGCCAGTGCCACTCCGGGGCCTTGCGTCAGGTCTCTCTTGGAGCAGCATCTGGTAAAGTAAGCAAAGTACCAGGCCAATTCCTGGCCTTTTGCAGCTTGAGGCCAACTTGATTAGGCTTAGTCCCAGACGATTGGTAAAAGAGATCACTACTGAGCACCAAGAGGGATCACAGTCACATTTGGTCTAGGCTTTGCTCTGACCAAGTTTTAAATTAAAATGTACAAGTCTTTGGACATTCTTCTGTTGTAGCCTAGTTCTAACCAATGCATCTCCTTTCTGTTCTGTATGCGCCGTTTCAATAGAGATTAAAATTCCATTTCCAGTAAAGACTTAAGTCTCAGCTCCTTGTAAATCCCCCCCCCCCCATTCTTTTTAGGTTAAGTCTCCATTTCCCGTAAAAGCCTCAAGTTTCAGTTTCTTTGTAATCCCCCCTACCCCCTTCAGCCTAACTGTAATAAAATGTGCTTTTCCTTAAGAAACGTTTAACTAAAAGGAAGTTACAAGAGAAGTTACAAGAAGCCCAGATGTTATGAAACTGTGTCAAAGTTCACAACATTCCTGTGGTTTTCCGTTTTAAAAACCCAACCCTTTAGCTGTAAGGCGTGCAGTCTTCCATATTGGCTCCCGACGCTGCGTTGCAAGGCCTGGCCTAAAATAAAGCCTTTGCTCCCTAAATTTTAATTTCTTGCTTCCTTGGATTTTATTCTGCGGTCCAAGCCATCACACTTCTATCATATTCCATTCATGGGTGGATAAAAAACTTGTAAAGGATGGCAGTGTAGTTCAGTGGTAGTGCTTGCCTGGAATGTGCAAGGTTCTGGGTTGGTTTCATCCTCATCACTGCAAACAATTAAAATAACGAGAAAAGTTCTAAAACACATATACAGTCCAGTTACTAAACTTCTTATCTAAGGGGGCACAAATTTCTCTACAGGCTTTCATATAGCTTTTTTTTTTTTGGTACCGGAGATCAAACTCACAACCTTACACTTATCAAGCAAGCTCTTGAAACTCTGAGCTAAATCCCTGGCCCTTGCTTTTTTTTTAAAAATGGTTTCAGTATGTAGTTCAGACTGGCCTTGAATTTACCACATAGCCCAGGTTGGCCTCAAACTTGTGGCGATCCTCTAGTCCTGGGATTTCAAATGTATGCCACTATACCCAGCTTTCCCTATAGTTTTTCTGCTCCAGAAAACTCTGTCTCTTCTGTCACTGCAGATATACTAAATTACTTCTGTTATCCATCACGACATCTCTTTTTCTTCCATTCACTAAGTATATACTGAACACCTTAACAATTCATTGGGTATCCAGTCTCAGAGAACTTGGGTGGGTGACATTAACATGCAAACAACTAACAAGACCTAAGTGTGATTTTGTAGAAAACTTGGAGTTTTCTACATAAGAACACAAGGTAAAATATTTTAACTTTCATAGGAAAAATATAATAAAGTCTTGCTAAGGGACCTCCCTCTTTTTCTTTTGTACATTTTTTTGTTTTTTGGAGACAGGGTCTCGCTATGTAGCTCAGGCTGTCCTGAATTACCAATTCACAGTGATTCTCCTGACTCAGACTCCTAAATGCTGAGATTACAGGCGTGTCCACTACCATGACTGGTACTTTTTTTTTTTTTTTTTGGTGCTGGGGGTTGAACTCATGACCTTGCACTTGCCAGGCAGGCACTTAATGCCTGTTGAGCTAATCCCCAGCCCCACTCTTTTGGTTTTTAAAACAGCTTTTTTTGGGGGGGGGCGGGTAGGGATTTACTTTAGCAGTATAAGCACCTGCCTGGCAAGGTCATGAGTTCAATCCCCAATTTTAAAAAAAAAAAATCTAAAACAGCATTTTTCCTATGGCCCAAGGTGTGGTCTTCTCGCTTTCTTTTTTCTTTTGGTTTGCTGAGACAGTCTTGCTATGCAGTTCAGACTGGGCTTGAACTCACTATGTATATAGGCATACAACACCATGCCTGGTACTCTTCCTCCACCCTGCTGGTAGAGGGTTCAGCCCAGGGAGCACTGATCCAAATACCTACTCCATTTTATTTTTTATTTTCTGACAAGATCTCAGTAAGTTGCACGGCCAAATTTCGATCCTCCTGCCTCAGTTTCCTGAGTAGCTGAGATTACTGGTATGTGTCACTACTAAGACTATTTGTTTAAAGATCAGTAACTATTTTAGCTTTCAAGACCTTCTACACATTGCTACCTTTCACCAATTCAATCTCATTCCAGTCAGTCTCTTCTCTCGTAACTTCTCAAAGGCCTCCTTGATTCTTGCCAGGAATAAAGAATCTCTCAATTACTACTTTAATTCACACTACTGTTTCTTAACCATTTTTAATACATTGAAATTCACCAATTTTTAAGGTATGCTTTTTGATTCCAGCAATTCTGAGAGGTAAGGGTAGGGAGTGAGAGGAAAGAGATAAGGGTCTCTTCAACAGATTTTGAGATGAGGAGGTATTTGGAGGTGGAGACCTGTATTGCTTATTATAGCAGGCTCTGGGAAAGTCCCATGGGCAGAGGTTGTAGCCAGGACCTGCAGGCATATAATCAACTTCAGGCTTGTCCTCTGGCCATATAGCTAACTGGTAATGGCCAAAAGAACTAAAAGGAAGCTACTGCAAACTCAATGTGAAGACCCTAGGTTCAATCTCCAGTACTGAAAACAAATTAAAAAACAAAACAAAATCCTTACAGCCAGGATGAGGCTATACTAGTTAGAATGAGGCTGGCTTTGGTGTAAAACCATCTGCACATCCAGGTAGCAACAGCCACAATCATTCTGTATTTGGTAGTTTTAAAGAAACAGGTTTTTTAAGGTGTGATAATAGTATTGAGGGTTTTTTTTTTTTTTTTTTTTTTTTTTCTCTTTTGAGACAGGGTCTCTCTATGCAGTTCAGGCTGGCCTTGAGCTCACTTTGTAGCTAGGCTGGTTTTGAACTCGAAATGATCCTCCTGCCTCAGCCTCCTGAGTGCTGGGATTACAGGCATGAGCCACCACGCCAGGCTGTTTTTTTTTTTTTTTTTTAAGGTAACATTTCCCTACCTATTTTTCTGAAGATTCTAGTTGCTTTCTTTTAAAAAATCCTTGAGATCAACTTTAAAAGAACATTTTCTCTTCAGAAACTCAAGATCTGTAATTTACCAGTCTGTCCCTGAATAGTATTTAAAACCCACAAATCTGTTCTCAAAGCAAAATAAGAAAAAGTATAAATTTTGTTTGTGTTCATGATAGTACACTTAGAGAAGGTGGGCTTTTGTTCCAAACCTGGAGGCAGACCTGCTCGCCTCACTTTTTCCTCTTCAGGAGTCTGCCTCTGACCCTTTGCTAAGTGGGCCCATCTAGAGGACACCTCTAGTTGAAGGAAACATACTTAGAGACAAATAGTGTAACATGACAGTAGGAGAGTTCAGTCTGGTAAAAAGAGGGAAGAAAAGCCTGAACCTGCAGAAAAAAAAACTATAGATTACTGCAAATTTGTAATACAGGTCCCAAAAATACAAGGAGTGGACTGGTACAGGCAAAATAGCATATAGGTAACACCATTTCATTTTGAAAACAAAAGCAAGAACAATTGTACTATTTTTATAAATTGGTATGTAGCATTAAGAAGGTTAAGGGGTGCTGGGGATGTAGCTCAGCAGTGAGAGGCCCTGGATTTGATTACCAGTACCTTAAAGGAGTGGGGGACACAAGGATACAGGTCAACAGCACAGTGCCTGGGTGACAAGTGCAAAGTCCTGAGTTCAATTGCCAGTACAAAAAAGGGGGAATTGGGGCGATGCAACCTTCTCAAACTCCAAAACCTTAGCTGGGCATGGTAGTGCACACCTGTAATCTCAGCACGCAGGAGGCTGTGGGAGGAGGATCCTCACAAGTTCAAGGCCTGTGTCAGGTACAAAGTGGTTTCAGGGCTAACCAGGATTGCATAGTGAGACCTTGTCTCAAAACAACAACCATAAGAACAAAAAGAAGCTTGAGGTGTGGTGTAGTTCAAAGATAAAGTACTTGCCTAGCATGTATAACAGTCTTGTTTCAACTCTTCCCCCACACTCCTTTAAAATTGTTACAGCTTGTTAAGAACTGTATAGTTCTCTTGGGCTACGAATCTAGTGGTACAGCACTTGGCTAGCATGGTGACTTCCTGGGTTCAATCCTCAACAATGCAAAAACAAAGAAACAAACAAACAATGGGCTAAGAATATAGCTAAACTGTATGCTAGAGATCGTTTGATCCCTGGTATCAAAACAAACACACACAAGAAAATCCCTGTATATTTGACTTTCTGACCTCTGTCTTTCTTACCTATTTTCCATTAGGAAATCTACAACGTATTTTTTCAAGCAGTAGAGATGGGCATCCACGAGACCTGTATGGAAATGTATTCTGGGGTACCTGCAAAAAGAAAAGGACAGAAAGGTTCACAATCAGGTAACATGAGTTCTATTTTGGCAGCAGTAGTAGGCATCTGGAATTTGATAAGGTCAGGTCCATGCTGCCTGCATTGTAGTGTGGCAGACCTTGCCAGTGGACATTGGCTGTGATCTAACTATGGAAAAGTATAAAAGGTCTTAGAAACCCTATCTCATGTCCCATAATGCTTTTGGACTTCTAAAGAAATATAATGGGACATCAAATCATCAATCCATCTTCTATCATAAACTCTTACAATTCTTTTTGCTTTTTTGGTAATGGGAATGGAACTTGTGGGAGACAACTCCAGTGACTCCCTTTGAATCCAAAACAATTTCTGTGACTTTGATTATTTGGAGACTCATTTTCTTATACTGATATGTAAAAAGCTGGCTAGGGTATTTCCTTCTCTCTTCAATTAGCTCTAAGCACTGCAAATAAGGATAGCCAAGGTGCTAATATGCAATCTCTATAGCCAACAGACAGTCCTGTTTGCTTGCATAGTGTTCTCCATATATTGAGTGAGATAGACAGACAGACAGACAGACAGACAGACAGACGGCAGGCAGAGCCTCTCTGTGTGCTCTACGCTGTGTAGTCTAGGCTGGTCTCAAACTCACTGTGCTCCTTCTGTCTAAGGGTCCCTAATCCTGGGATTACAGGTGTACACCACCATACCTGGCTTGATATTTAATAAAAAATAAAAATTAAAAAAAAAACAGCCAAGGGAGAAATGGAAAGAATGAGGTGAAAAAAAATGGACATTTCAACTATAGCTGTCTAGTTATAATCTCTTCTACCCCATGTTGCTTTACTCAACTGGCTTATAGGAAATACATTCTCATGGAATCCAGATAATCTGGAAGTAATCAAATAAACTAAGGAATAACACTTTGGGCTTTTATACTTTTGGGAAGAGAGGAGAGAAATGCTTCTAAAAAGGAGTCAGGGACCTAGGAATTTATAGTTATAACATACATGTACACACCAATTAATGTGTACAATGGAGATAAAGAAAAGCAGAGGTACTTCCCTATTCTAAATTTCTGAGATGCTCAAGTTCTAAGAAATTCCTCAGGAAATAGATTTTAGTAAATGAACGCAATTGCCTATTTGGTATCACAATTTCATTTGAGGTCTATTATGCTGATAATCTCCTTTGCCCTGAACAATTTAGAAAGTTACACTCTGCTGTTCATTTCCTATTTCACAAATTTCTTTAATCATCAATATACTTTATAATATTTAATCCTCACAATTAACTTAAGAGGTAGATACATTATTCTCATTTTTATTATTAAGGTCAATTAATACAATCAGGGTAGGAAAAATATAAAAGTTCAGACAATCATATTTTTTTTCTTTTTTTTGTCTTTTTTGTTTTTATCGGTACCAGGGATCGAACTCAGAACTGCCTGCTTGCAAGGCAGGAGCTTATGCCGCTGAGCTAAATCCCCAGCCCCCAGACAATCATATTTTGAACTGTTACCATCCCTAGTTATACACGGTACTAACACTGATATTAGTTTGTTTGTTTGTTTTTGAGACAGGTTCTCATTATATAGACAGGCTGGCCTTGAATTCATTGTGTAGCCCACGTTGGCCTTGAATTCATAGTGATCCTACTGTTTCACCTTCCCAAGGTGCTGGAACCATACACAATCACCACCATGACCCTGCAGCATTTTACAGTCTATACAAGCTTTTCCAGTATCCCCAACCTTTTTGGGACAAAAATGTCCCAAAAATGTAACTGGTACACAAGGTTACAGGCTTAACTGGCTGCAAATTTAGAATATGATGAGGTATAAAGATGTCACTTAGCAAAACCATGTCTCAAAATACTAATTTTTTTATTTTTTTGAGAAGGGTCTCACTCTGTAGGTCAGGCTTGTCTTAAACTCAAGGTGATCCTCATGCCTCAGCCTCCTGAATGCTGGAATTACAGGCATGCGTCATCACGCCCTGCAATGCTAGATAATTTACAAAGGGCCAGGGATGTAGTTCAGTGCAAAGCCCTTGGCTTCAGTCCTTAGTATCATAGAACACAATCACACAGGACAAAACAAAACCCTGAAAAAGACATCAGTGAAATCTGGATATCTGGCTTACTGCCAGAATGATGTTTTGGTTTTACATATGACAAATCAGCAAACAGAAATGAGATATTTAGAAATAGTGGTAAGTTCATTTTAACAATGAAACAAAGTGTCAACTAGGGAAAGTCCTTTGCAATAAAAAATAATGTACATGAAAAAAATTGTGGGGGATTAAAAATGGAGAAGACTGCCAGCAAAAGTTTCTTTTAGACATGAAATAGAGACATAGCTAGAAAACAACTCAGTGGGTGGGGGTAGATCTGGAATTAAGAGCCAACAACAGGAAAACTGGAAACTACAGAGAAACTGGAGAAATAGAAGACAACTCAGAGAATGAACAAAGAGGCCTGGAACACTAACCCTGGCTACTGGGAAGAGGAACCTGTCTCTACTACAAAGCAAATGCTGAGAGGGTCAGCAGTTCTATGGAGAAACAGGAAATCAGGCCATCAGCTTAAGCCCCAAGGGAAGCCCACAGTCATTGTAAACTGCAAAACTGGTTGGGGTTTTACTCTGAAAGCAACTCCTTCCACATAGCAGGCTAAGGCTGGAGAAGTAATCTACTGCAGTGCCTAGCACATTTGGTGTTTAATCAAGAGACATTTTGAATAGTAGGACTGGGTGAGTCAGTCACAAGAGACAGTTTTGAGGGATGAAGGCTAGATGTAGGGCCCCTAAGAAGTTTAAGCTCAGGCCAGGAAAGACATGAGTTGGGGGTCTTGCCTTCTGTGGTGAGATGCTTAGCCAGTCATGTGTGGTTTTAGGAGGGGGTTGGGCCTGAAAGTGCTGATATTAAATCCAGCAGGCTGCTTGATCACTTTCCCTGCTCCACAACTCCTGTGGCACTGCAAGCACAGAGCTCAGTAGTCTGTCTGCTTTTGCCACCTGCCAATGTGATCAGGAATATACCTTGGCTGAGATGGCTGCCACAGCCTTGTGTGTATGAACAGGGGGCCTCTGGGAGGCCCCCTCACAAACCCACAGGCGGTAAAGCTAGATGGAGAAAGCAGTGCCTTGGGGACCACAGATGGACATGGAGACTGGGGTCAGTTGGAATGAATATAGCCCTAGGACAGACACCACTGACTGACCACACTTGGCAGGAAAGGTGGGGAAGAACTCAGCATACACACACAAAGAAGTATAGAAACTAAACAGGTCATAGGAGTGAGTCATTAGCCCTCCCCCATACCTGGTGGATTTCAATACTGCACATCCTGGAAAGAAACCAGTCATTTCTCTTTTTCTTAATTGGTTCTTTGGTTTTTGGTCTTTTTACTTTTCTTCTTTTCTGAGACAGTCTTGCTCTGTGGCTCAGACTGGCCTTGAACACACTCAGCCCAGGTTGGCCTTGAACTCATGACAATCCTCATGGCTCAGCCTCCCAAATGCTGGGATTACAGGTATGTGCCACCATACCACCAACTTCTTTTGCTTTTTTTCCTTTCCTTGGTGGTTCTTTTTTTTTTTTTTTCCCCCTCTTGGTGGTTCTTTAATGCTACATTTAGCTAATTCTATTAATTTTCTTTTACTCATTGATCCTTTAATCTCACTTTTCTCTTTTATTTTTCAAATTTTTCTTTAATTTTTTTCCTTCCCTATCCTCTCCATTTTTACCTGTCTTACTATTAAGCTTTATTTGTCTTTAGATACTCTGTTTCCCTAAAAGTAAAACTGGAAAATAAGCGCTGTTTATTACCATAGTGATAGGCAGTGTCATACTGAAGGATTATACCTCACTATTCTCTTGTTTGGGGGCTACTCTGCTCTGTACTGGCAGGTAAGGGAAGGTGACTGGGGTTGGCGTTTTTGATCTTTAGTTTTCATGACTGATTATCTTCTAGTTATATGTTTTTTGAGGAAACAGTATTTAGTTGATTCTTTGTTATTGCTATTGAATTGTTTTCTGTTGTTAATGGTATAGTTGTTGGATTTAGTATATATTTATTGTATGTCAGTTATTTGGTTGTCTGTACCTGTATTATAACCTCAGATTTATCTTTTCTATCGTTAATGGTGTACAATGGTAGCTTTTATTAGTTCCTATGGTATGTCAATATCCAATTTATCTTTGAATCTATTACTGTTGCTGATTTTGTTGCTATTGCTAGGGAAGAATAGTTGTTGCTAGTAACTGGTTTTCACTGTACGCCAATATCTTGTTTGTTTTGTATCATCAACAATACTGTGGTTCATTTCCAGAAAACTACGTGCTGGGTCACTGCACATTCCTCTCCCCATTTTAACAGAGGTGGTCTGATCTAGGGCAGAGGCAAAGACCTAAAGTTAACCATGCTTGGAGTGCGTCAACAGAAAGCAGATACTAACTAAACAGATCTCTATACTAAAAAAGTCTTTCCAAAATAATCTACCCTAAACCCTCAGCACAAAGTAAATGAAATAAAACAAAACAAACAAACAAAATAGAAATATGTGAAAACAAAGCAACAAAATGCCTCCAAAACCTCTCAACTCAACTAGGTATGGTAGTGCATTGGCAGTAATCCAGTACTAGAGAGGCTGAGGCAGGAGGACTGTTGTGAGTTTGAGGCCAGCCTAGGCTATGTAGAAAGTTCAAGGTCAGTCTGAACAGTATAGTGAGACCCTGTCTCAAAAAAAAAAAAAAAAAAAACCCCACAAATGAATGAATAAACAATTTCATGACCAACAAACTAGTACTCCAAAATTTCTCAAGGATATCCCAGAAATAGACAAGCAAATGATGCCAAAGTCTAGTGGGATGACTATATCAAGTAGGGTGGGCAGTTAAGCAGAAGTGGGGAAATATGAATTAGCTACAGGAAAATAATGCAATGACAGAAACAAATAAGTACTTTTCAACATAACTCTCAACATGAATGGGCTCAGCCTCCTAAGTGTTGA